CTGAACTGTTTCCGTTCCTTCTCGTAGGTGTCGCTGTCTTCCGGAAAGTCTTCATGAGATCTAATCTCGATTAGGATGTCACTGAACCTTTCCCATAGTTCATCGAGTTTCTGCAAGGGTACCTCTACCTCTGTAATCGAAAAACCTTCCTTAAAGCCGTCCACGAACTGTAGGATGTCGTTGAAGCATGACTGTGTGTCCTTCAGCATCATCTTCAGTGCCCTGAGGGATGGCGGTTTCTTGCCGACAGCGGATTGCAAAGTGGTTGTTCGTCACGCACGAGAAGAGAAGACAGTGGTGTAGTATGCTGCGATTTATCCTAGCTTCGCCAGGCATATACTATACAATTCTGTATTTTACCTGGTCGAAAATAATGTTGTTCCCAAATGGGAGAACAAACGATGAAATAAGCCACCAGTCGCAGCAGCTCACATGTGACGTCACGGCTCGTTTCGGTAAGGGATCAATGGAGTCGAAAGGAAATTCAGGATGTAATATCAAGAGAACCTTGGCCACGACTGGCCATATACTGTTGTGCCTCACCTGGAGAAACAAACAGTAGTACTCTTCTTGGAAATTAAACCATCAAATCGCAAACCAGGAAATATTTTTCTCACTGAATACGGGCCTCAATCAATCGACTCAATTTACAGTATGTGAGTAATGGATATGGATACGATCGAAGAGGAAAAACATAAATCACCAACGTGTAATCTCTGAGCCTAGCTTCGGCTTACATATACTATATTCTACACTGACTTGGAGAAAAATAGTTTGATGCTCCCTCTTCATTATGCGTAATCCGGAACCCACAGATTAGTTAAGGATGCTTCGGTGAACGGTCAGGGTTGAAAAATTCCAAAATTCAATCCGTTTGGTTGAAGACGAGTACGGTGTCTTTGCTGATGACGTAGTAGCTTCGGTGGTGGACGACGGGCATTGCCTGTGCCAAAATGGTGCCAAGGCTTTGATCACGTTGGTCAGCAAGGTATATGCTATGTAGATCTCGACGTTGGAATCCTCCAATAAGTGATAACTATCGATTGCAGTACGTAGATGTGCAAGGCTCGAAGGACCAAATGTCGGTTCCGATAGCTCTGCCGACATGAAATTGGGTTTCACCAACCCTTATGGCTCCATAGGGATGACGCATTCATAATAAGGCTTCTCCTCTGCTCTGAGTATGGTCTCCTAATTACCCCGTTTGATAGGGTTCCGGGGCCTTTCTTGTTTATTGCACTAAGTACACGTGTCGTACGGTTAAATACACATTACGCGAAACACATTTATTTACGATTAGACTAACATTTATTTTACTACTACTTAACTCTAGTCATAAGTGTAAAAACTATGTATGATTCCCCCGATCGAACCGTTTTCACCGGCGAATCGATAGGCACTAGCGATGAATTTGGGGTTCGCAAGTTCCATCCCGCTCCATCTCTCGGCCACGATCTCGATAAGAGATAACGGCCGATTATCCTCTCCCGCAGGCCGATCGTAACTCACCACCACATAGCCTATGTGTGTTTGGTAGATGTTGCTGAGATCACCACGCCGTAAACAACGAGGTCCTGTCTATCTTTTCTGGATATAGTGCAGTTGTAGCCAGCGACACAAGGGATAGTGGACTGTATGTAAAGATGATGACCATTCCAGGGTTGTAGTGCGAGGGGTTCAAGGTGATTTCCAACAACTGGAGCGGAGTACATTGGTGGTTCATCGGACAGATGTGAGTATAAGCACATTTTTTCCACCGAATGGTGGAATCCAACGGATTTAGTCCACCGTAGGACAGCGTTCGTGGCTGCTTTTAATTTTCTGCGGATAGCCTTCACGGTGCTGCCAACTACTACCAAGACGATGTCGGCTGCATACACAAAAATGTATATTTCCTTGGGAAGATTGTTGAAAACTCCGTTTATCCGTATTAAAAACAGCGGGACTGCGATCACAGAACCTTGTGGAACGTCTCCTTCGGGAAACCTCTGGATCTATGGTTGCCAATACATACTTGAAAAGTACGATGTTGGAGAAAATTCTTCAGAAAATGGATAATGTGGCCGGACAGACCCCATTCCGCAAGTTGGACAAGGATGTCAGGCGTCCATGTCCGATTGTATACCGTGGCGATGTCTAAAGTGGCTAGCTCCACGCGTCCCGAAGTACCTGATTTAGTGTGGTGAAATAGGTCCCAGTGCCATGTCCGGGACGGAAGGCGTGCTGGTGATGGTCAATGTAGCCGTTACTCTCCAAGTGGAGCACGATGTTTGTATTTTTAAATTCATTATTTTCTTTAAAATATCCATAGTAAGAAAATTATTAAATTCTCTGAGACTTCCAGGTATTTTGAGGAAAAAATAAAATTTCCTGAGGATTCCCCGTTTTCCAGGTTTTTGCAGTTAGTACACATCCTGACCAAAACTTTCTATTGAATCTTTCGTTTTAAAGGTTCATATCGTACATAAGTGTTTAAGAGATACTGATTGAATAAGTCTTAAACATGAAACATTTATTTGGTGTGCCATCAGAACGACTACTTTTTGTTCTCTTTGGTCACTTTTTAGTCACTATGTTTACAACTATAAGACACTATTTGGTCACTTATTTCTTCAACATGGTCACTAAAATCAATATTTTAGACAGCAGTAATAGCTACCAGCACTGTCATGCAAAACACTTGAATATTACACGTTGACCAGTGTTGGCAAAATCATCAATCAAATAATATTTTTCCGCTCTCATACGATCTCAATATCACGCGTGATATTGGAACAAAGTGTCTTGCTTGATATTCATTTTACAAGCTCCTTTGATATTGCGAGACTATTCGCAACGTGCAAAAATCAAGCTAAGAGCTGACTCGACACAAACATGATTCCGTTCCACATCGTTTTCTTAGAAAGAGAAAGTATAGTTTGCTATCTCTTTTTATTCTACACCGATGGCGGACACGAAGGGACTGCTGCCAGCCGTTATGGAAGTTTCGATTGCATTCGGGTGTAAAGCAAAAATCAATAAACTCAATATCACCTCAGTTTGGTGAGATTTGCAGTTGGTGAGTTTTGTTAGCTTGATATTCCGAGCTGCGATATCACAGCTTGCAAAAACAACTGCAAATGTTTGCTTGTTGATTTTTGTCTACGAAAATCAAGCGTGATCTTGGGCGTTGGTGAGATTTGATGTTTTGATATTTTTCCAACACTTCACGTTATATTGCGTTGAGGCGTTCAGTTGCAGAACTTCTTGGGTCGGTCTATCCGGGGCACGTTCCTCGCTTTACGGACGGATCGCGATCACGGGCTGGAGTGGGACTCGGAGTGGCAGGACCAAACTCCGCAACAAGTCAAAGTCTACCGGAGAAGTGTTCCGTTTTTTCCGCAGAAGCCGCTGCTATTCTTGATGCAGCCATCACTCCTGCAGATCAACCGATCCTTGTGCTAACGGACTCACACAGCGTCATCCAGGCGCTGGAATCCGAAGCCCCGCGCCACCCCTGGATACAAGCCATTACACGATATGCCCCAACCCTCAACCGTTTTTACGTGGATTCCCGGGCACTGCGGTGTTCCTGGAAATGAGGCTGCGGACAGGCTGGCGGGATCCGGTCCATCTGGTCCCCGCTTCACCAGGAACGTACCACTCCTAGACGTCAAGCGTTGGATCGCGAATATTATCATGGAAGCCTGGCAGGAGGAATGGTTTCAGTCGCGGACCACTTTCCTGAGAAAGATCAAAGAAACCGTACGACCCTGGCTAGACAGCCACAAGTACAAGGACCAACGGATCATTTCAAGACTCCGGACTGGCCATGCGAGGATTTCCCACAATTTTGGTGGGACACCCTTCCACAAGGTTTGTCCAATCTGCAGCATCCCTGCCTCGGTGGAACACGTGCTGTGTGTCTGCCCAGAGTTTCAAAGGCTACGCGAACAACACCGACTCCCAGAGAACATCAGGGAGCTACTTGGCAACGACCCCTCGACGCTGGCTGCGCTGATTGCTTTCTTGAAGGACGCCCACCTGTACAACCAAATCTAGCACTCTCGTCGTTGGCTGCGCTGTCCGTGTTCTTCCACTTTCCTATTTTCCTGCCGTCGGGGTATCTCTGCCGGACTGTCTCACTGTCTCTTACGGTGGAGCTCTACCTTGTTCGCGCATCCATTCCTCACCACAGTCCCGATGTAACTCCCATTTTACATTAAGTTTTTTTTTTTAATGTTGTTCCAGAGCCAGTTTTACGTTACGTTAATGTTAGACTGAAACGTTTCCTTAGAGGCAGGCCCTAAGCCTGACCTTCTACTATCAAATGTGATGAACTAGCCTACGGCTAAAAATCACAAAAATAAAGAAAAAAAAAAAAAAAAACTCCACGTTTTATATTTAATTATATTATATATTATTTATATTATTGAAAAAAGTAACAAAAACAGAACATAACGCATATTTAACAAATTGAAAGAGTGGTGACAGAGTATTGGTGGAAGGAATTGAAAGCCATAATGAGGGTTCGTTTCAACTCGAAAAGTGACGTTACTTTCATTGAAAGCGATAAACAAAGCAACGATGAGAAAATCCACAACCGTTCTTTCGATCTAAAACGCTGTACGCTGGTTGTCAAATAATTGCAACACAGAAACCACCATCAATAAAGCGCTATAACATGTTATAACTCTGTAGTCTGAACGTACTATAAGCGTACCTTCTTCTTTTTCACTTTCGCATCGTGCTGATAGTCAAGCTAGGCGTTATAGATATGATGCGTTGAACACAGTGTATGACAAACATAGAACTCGAGTTTATTTTAGAGCTTCGAAAATGTAGCGCCCTACGCTGCCGTTAAACGCATAAGAGTCCCACGGTGCATAAAGATTGCATAGAACATGGAACAGTTAATCGTATAACGGAAGTACGCGAGATATAAAAAAAATTTGAATCCCGAAGTTTTATGAAATACCTTCTAAAATCCCTTCAACAAACGTCTAATTTCTCACCCACAGACACCGTCGCAGTCTACTCGGAACAGAATGCCATGGAGTCGTTCACCAGCGAAGACATCGGCCAGAACCTGGTGGCCATCCAGAATCATTTGCGAAGTTTGCAGCTGATGCCCAGTGCTCGACAGCAGTTGCAACTGTTGCTCCAGCGTCAGCATATCGAACACGAAGAGCTGAAGTTGCGCCATTTCCTCGAGCTGGAAAAGTTCCTCAAACAGCAAAAGGAGGACATGAAAGCGGCAGCGCAACAGCAGCCGGCTGCACCGCAACCGCAGCCGCAGCAACAACAACAGGTGCAAGTACCGATGCAGGGCCCCGGTCCACAGCAGCAGCAGCAGCAGCAGGGGCCTGTTATCACGGACATCACATCGCCGACGCTTACCGTAAGTCGAGGCTTCGATCAGAATACGATCACCACTCCTTCCTACAACAACTACAGCACGATCGGTAGCTCCAGCAGTGGCGGCAGTGGTCCCGAATTGATCGAGCTGGACGCGTCGTTGACGATCGTTAACGAAACGAACAAATAGACAAATAACCCAACCCTGCTAATTTATAGTGTGACACGAGGGGGTAATGCAAAACAAAGCAAAGTGGTAGTTTTAGTGGTTCGTTTTTAGGGTGTTTTTTCTTCCTAGAGGAATTTAATTGCTACTGCTTGTGAGCATTGTTTTTTTTTTTATGAACGTACATATATTTATCTAGAGGTATATATAGAAGCCACATTTTATTGGCTTTTCGTTTCTCCTTCACTTTTCCGGGGCTGCTGGTTGGCTGTTGAATAACGCTTTCGTCGTTCATCTGAAACCGAAAATGAAAAGAAAATGAAGAATATCCTAAACGAGCCCAAATAACCTACCTTTCGACAGACACACTCTACCAGAGGAAATACGAAACGATGCGCGCAACGATTCCATTCCAGTTTCATCCCAGAGAAGAAAAAAATATCGCTGCGAGTTGACTGCATAGTTTTGGTCTTGAAACTTTCACCCTTCCTTGTATAGTTGATTGCATGCTCGCTTTTGGGAACTGAGGGACATAATTTGACCGAATCCTGTGGTCCGTAGGATGGTGAACTTTGTTAAACCAATAGATGTTTGGCGTTAACTTTAATCCTGCAATTTCCGGTGCACACAACTTTGCTATTTTCCGGATGTTCAATGCTTTTGTTAGGTAACGCCCTTTGGTTCCCGTCAATGAATACAAGTTCGACTAGAGGGACGACGGTGTTTTTTGAAACATAAAACAAATATTGCTGTTAATCGTATAGAGAGAAAAGAAATGATATTTACTCACAAAGAAAATACACACACTTACTGCAAAATGGTAAAAAGAATTGTATAAACAACAAAAACACAAACACATACAAGTGTGCATATTTTATATTCGGATAACTAAGTAAAATAATCGATAGGCGCTTTAGTTTCTAGACGAAAACAAAATATAAACGTATGCATATTCCGCAGTGATTGAGAAGCAACACGCGCACGAAAGTGTTTGGTTCCACTCACTAGAGACACGTCTGTTGAGTATCCGGCTAGTGTGCATATTATCCATACCGGCAGTGGTGAATTCGAGGATCACGCACTGCTTTACGACAGATTTGAAATTGAATTTACTGAATTCCTTGCGCTTGCTGACGAGAAACCTAAATGTGTGTCATTTCTCCCTCGCAACGATGGTGTGTAAAACTTATCTCATCATTTTGCTTCACATCTAGGTACATGTTTGGTAGAAATTTTGTATAGGAAAAACTGAAACGTGGAACGCGGAGTCTGCCACTCGTGTTGTCGTCGTCGTTCACTTGGAAAAGGGAAAACGGTATGAGAGGCAGAAATTGAGTGAAAGAAGAACGATATGAACGATTGTTGATGGTTTATCATAAACCGCTTTCTTAGCTAGTGGACGGAAGAAAACAAAAAGTTTAAATACTACGCGGAAAGTAACACGAAGGAGACTTATGAAATAGGAACGGAAGGTAAGCAAAGAATAGGAAAGAGTAAAATATTCATCGCTAACGACCCAAATTTAGTAGGGTTGATATTACTTTATTGTATTATATATTATATTATCTATATTATATGAAATGAAGAATAATTAAGATATTAAATATCTACTAAAATGGATAAAAAAGCAAAACAGCAGGACATGTCCCATTCTGTACCATTCAGTTCCAAAAACAAATCCGAAATCCGTTGTTTAGTTTCGTTGCAAATATTTTTTTTCCTGGATATCCTCTTATTTTCTCTTATATTGTTGTTTTAAATTCTCCAAGATAGATGCCATGTTATCCTTAACTTGCCCCGTAACGTGGGTAGATCACCTTTTTGTGGTACGTTACGGGATGTAAGATCTACCACCGATTCCTAGTCCTCACTACTTCAAACTAGGAGAACAGGATTTCTCAGTAATCAAAGGAGCACATCTTAATACTTGTTACTTTTTATGCCTGGTTGATAGTGACAAGACTCGGCTTTGTCCACCGAGGATGATCTTGAAACACGGGGAAAAAAAAAGAGTTAGTTAGTCTTTATCTGTGTGATTCCTAATCTTCTATTCGTTGTTCCCTAGTTTGAAGTGGTAAAGACTAGGGTTCTGATGCATGGTCACTATCGGTGTCATTCTTTAATTTTGTTGCTAAGGAATCCAATTTTGACTGACGAAGGGGCGCGCCTTTGGAGGGCGTTTCAACACTCCGAAGGGTATAAATAGCAGAACCTTTCAATTAGAGTCGGATCCTTGTGATAAATGCAAGAATGACAACTATAAATAAATCGAATACTTCATCATTTCTCAGTAGTAATGGAGTAATACGAACTGCACTAAACTAAGGACACGGGATGTACTACAATAGATCAAACTACTGGGCGCAGTGTTTTTTTTTTTAACTATCAGAGAGATTTTTAGCCGTTGGCTAGTTCATCTCTATAAAATGGGACGACCCAGAGAGGGGTTCTGCCAGCAAATTTTGTTACGGAGTTGGCTTACAATTCACATGTACTCAAATAGCAGCAATTAAAACAGATTCCAGTAAAAAGACTAACAATACAGGCAACGAGAAAAAAAAACAATCTGGTGCATCAAAGTTAGGTAGGGTTTTGAAAGAGATCGGAGCTCCACCGTAGGAGGGGTAATCCCCCGTTCGGTAGAGATGTACCGTCAGCCAAAAGAAAGTTAAAAGGACCTCAATGTTGTTGTATAACCCAGCGTCCTTGAGGAAATAAATAACTGTCGCTAAAGTGGAAGGTTCGTCGCACAGTATGTCCCTAATGCTGTTGGGAAGTGCGTACTGCTCCCGTAGTTGTTGGTATTACGGACACAGGCATAGGATGTGTACCACCGATGCTGTTAGCGCTGCTGTCATAGGATGTGTTCCACCGATGCTGTGGTTCCGCAAACGTAGCACATTCTGTGGAACTGCGTCCCACCAAAACTATGTGAGATCCTTGGCCTGTCCTAAGACGAGAAACCACCTTCTGGTCCCGTAGTTTCGACATATCCGTCCACTTGCTCGTCGTTCCTTTGATTCTTCGGATGAAGTGGGATTGGGATTGGCACCACTCTGCTTCCCAGGCTTCCCACATTTTGCTGACTATCCATCGCTTTATGTCCTGTAGTGGCACTTCGTCGGTGTAACGGGGGCCAGCTGGTCCAGACCCTGCCAGGCTGTCGGCTTCGCTGTTTCCTGGGATACCGCAGTGCCCGGGGATCCAGGAAATACCCTGTATCCAAGGGTGAGTGATGGTCTCCGATGTAAGGGCTTGTATCACACTATACGAATCGGATAGCACCAGTATGGGCCGGTCCGAGGGTGTTGTAACGGCAACATAGATGGCCGCAGCTTCGGCGGAGAAAACCGAGCATTGTGGCGGTAGGCTGCTACTCATCGGTGCTGAAATTCCGGCTACTCCAATTCCGACCCCGGCTCGGGAAAGCGATCCGTCCGTGTATATGTGGGCATGGGTTGGGTATTCCGAGCCTAGCAGTTCGGCTATTGTTCTCTTCAGCGCTGCAGAGTTATCTCCAGCCTTGAACCTGCTTTTTATCCGACTCTCGATTTTTGGTGGAGGTATGCGCCAACTTTTGTCCGTACCAGTGGACCTTGGCCACTGGGGGGAGCTCCACATTGGCAGTCATGCGGACGAGTCTGTTCCCCTCATCGAGGAGAAAGATCCTGTCATTTCCGGAGGTCATTGCGGTAAAGGCAGCGGCTTTCGTTGCAATTGCTGCGGTTATACGATGGTGGGAGGGCAGAATACCCCCTTCGATGCATGCGGCATCGGCGGGCGTTGACGGAAGAAGACCGGAGACAATCCGAACGTAGGTGTTAAAAGTTGGTGCTAGTATCTGCACGAGCTTTTCGGTGGCGATGCACGTCATCTCAAGATCGTACAGTAGGCGACTATCGATGACGGCTCTTGCAACCCGGAAACGAGTGTCGCGATTGTTAGACCGGTGGGGGCGAGAGATAGTGCGGATCAAGTTGATCCTACTGCGGCAGTCGTTCTTGATCGCCTTAGGCTCTGAACCATTTGGTGGATTATTTTAACTTTTGGTTAAAATTTGACAGATGGAAAGTTATCGATTGACCCTGCTATCCGAGCTTGGTTACTTCTGACAGACAAGAAGTTAAATTTTGACAACTTTGGCTGAGTTCTTCTCGAAAACCGGTCGATCGACAGCACAGGGATTTTCAAACATAGAAAATAACTTTCGAAATGTCACTTTTAACCACGAGTTAAATTTAACTCGGCAAATGGTTCACAGCCTTAAAGTGCTGATCGAAGTTGAGGGACCGGTCAACAAGTACCCCCAGAATACGGACCGTCTTCTTCAGTGGTATGGGCTGTTGTATGAACTTTAATACGTGGCCCGCTGACACGGTGCCGGGATGGACACACGTGGCACCTGACGCTTTTGGTGGCCGAAAGCTGGAAACCTACCGCGCTGGCCCATCTGGCTACAGCGGAGACTGCTGCCTGGGCCTTGATCCTGTTACGTGCTGCTGTTGGGCCGGTAGTTACGATAAGTACATCGTCTGCATACACGAAAATGTAAACATTTTTTTTGGCAGTCCTCCGAAAACTCCGTTCATGGCAACAAGGAAGAGGGTAACGGCGGTAACTGAACCTTGTGGAACGCCCGTCTCTTCTCTGAAAAACTGGGACCTCGTGTTGCCAACTGCGACTCTGAAAGAGCGATCGGTCAGGAAATTTTTGATGAAGTGGACCATGGGTCCACACAGCCCCCAGTTGACAAGCTGCTCTAAGACGAGGGGCGTCCACGTCCTGTTGAAGGCCTTCGATATATCCAACGAGACGATCTCGGTGTGGAGACCGCTATCGTTGGCACTCTTGAGGACCTCCCCTAATGTTGCAAAATAAGTTGACGTTCCGTACCCTTGACGGAAGGCGTGCTGTCGATGGTCTAGCAGGTTTTCGGCTTCAAGGAAATGCTTTAGCCTCCTGTTGACCATTCGCTCCAGGACCTTGGCCGCCAGCTGGACACCAAGTATGGGAAGCTCGGAGTCCATATCGACAACCAGGAAAGGTATCGTCTTCAAAACCCCGATGGCCACGGAGTGCCGGAAGTTGTTTCCCCGTTTTGCTGTCCACGTATACTTACCGCCTAGACAGCGGTTCATTTGGTCTGTTGTCGCTTTGTTAGTTTCCTGGAGCGCGATGACCCAGGGGGGATCTTCGTGGCAAAGGAGCTCTAGATCACCAATGTGGTTCAGGAACCCGTTAATGTTCCACTACAGGATGAAGTTTACTGGCTTAGGCAAGGCAGGAGTGGGGTACGAGCGCGCTGTGATTGTGGAGCTAGTGTCATCGCGACGGTGACTGCCACTCTGGGCGACGGGTAGATCTATATCGTAGGTGTCCAGCTGACAGATTGATGTTGTTTGCTGAATGAGGCAGGGCCCCACCAAGGGCAGGTGTAGAAGTTCCACCCACCCAGGGCAGGGATGACCCAACATAGAGAGAAGAGGTATTACATGGTGGCGTACTGGGTTTGGCAGCTTCGGTCGTTGTTATAGCAGCGTGTTTGAGTCCCTCGAAGTCCTTCGGGGAATGGGTCGATGAGCCCTTGTCCGTCCCGATACTTGACGCAGACTTGACTCCCTCGTCGTCCATAGGTCCCGAACAGAGGAACAAAAAAAAACCTTAACTTGACCTTAAATGTTGTTGCTGGAATTTTCCCGAAAGTAAAAATCTTCTGAGAATCATATTAAAGTCCTAATTTGTTCCTATTTATATGGCCACTAAAACCATCATGCTGTGTGGTTTTTCCTGAAATGGTCGGTAATTAAATGCACTCCCAACTTATGAATATGTTAAAGCTCTATCTTGACATATGCCAACTTCGTTGGAAATGCTTTAAACACAGACAAACAGACATAACACATTGAATATTTCTCACTGTAAAACATCGTCCTTAAAACATTACCGCCATCTGTTGAGTACACTGTGGTGGGTAGTACGCTGAACAGATGGCGGTAGTGTGGAAACGTCAAACGCAAGGTAATTGACTATGAGCGCCACAGGTGGCGGTACTACCAACTAAGATACTTTTAAATTGACCGATAAATGCTTGTTCGATGAACATCTTGCGAGTGTTATGTCTGTTTGTCTGTGCTTTAAATCTCTATCATGTCGCTTGACAGTAATATCAACAATCAATACGAAACTAACGATTTTAAATTGGCTCACCACTTTAGTAGCCTATTGGTCCCAAGCAAACGATTAACGTACCCTATTCTAGTCGAAATTCTAGTACTACGCAATGTTTGTTTTGATTCACTATGAAAGTTTGACAGATAAAATGAGGGGTTATTGGTTTTTCCTACACGGATAGAAATTTCCTTATACCTTTTGGCAAATTTCTATTGCTGATTATTCATAAAATGTATAAGTCAACTAATAAGCAGACGCCTTGCAAAAAGTTAACGAAGCTCATGTGTCAAATGAAATGTATAAGTGGTTACACATACCTTTTATGCATTCTTGTAGGACCTATTTGGTTTGCCTTATGGAATGTATAAGGCTGATCTTTTGGCAAAAATGTATAAGTGAAACACATGAATAAAATAATTGATTTTCGTTTCGTGTATGTTTCGAGGGGTGAATCGATTAGCTTGGGACCGAAGAGAGTACCAGAGCTGAGCCAAAAAGTTGAGCACGTTATTTCGGGACCTTCTAGTCTTAGAGTTACCTCTATGGTAATATCATAGAGGTAACTCTAGCACCAGAAGGTCCCGAAGAAACGAGCTCAACTTTCTGGCTCAGCTCTAGTACTATCTTCGGTCCCAAGCTAATCGATTCACCCCTCGAAACATAGGAAAATCCACTAACCCCTCATTTTATCTGTCAAACTTTCATAGCGAATCAAAACAAACATTGTGTAGTACTGGAATTTATACTAGAATGGGATATGTTAATCGATTTGCTTGGGACCAATAGGCTACTCAAGTAGTGAGCCAATTTTAAATCGTTAGTTTCGTATTGGTACATACTTAGGTACAACTTTGAAGAACATCTAACGTTCCAGATTGACGAATTTCGAAAATATAAGGAATTTTTCCCTTTTATCTATCAACACCTATTTTTTTAAACTTTTTATTTGATCCAAATTCAAATCTAATTACATTTTTTATTTTAACCTAGGTGCATCGATTAGCTTGGGACCGAAGATAGTACTAGAGCTGAGCCAAAAAGTTGAGCACGTTTCTTCGAGACCTTCTGGTCTTAGAGTTACCTCTATGCCTAAACTGTCTACGTAGTTGATGAACAGCCCCTTCTATATACAATGTTCACACTGCCATACTCTAACGGAACTATCAACTCTATACCATCTCCTCATCTATCGTATCAAATGACCACTTTAAGTCTGATATTTCACGTTAAGAGCATCTACAACTATCTATTTTATGTCTATGTGGTTTCCAAAATTTTGAAGCGGTGGGCGTTGATTTTTTCGGATATAATCCTGAATCGTTCAATAGTATTTTAATACTTTAGTGAATCTCACTCCGTGCTGCATCACAACATTGTAAAGTTAAGGCTGAATTTGAAAGAAAGGATACTTCGAGTAGAGCGCACGTGCACGCTGTCTGACGCTAAGCCTGGTCAAATGAGTGGGTTATGTGTTTATATGCACTTATGTTTAGTTTTGTGTAGTAGTTATGAAATTGGTATGTAACATTATTTATTCTTCTTCTTTCCTTTATTTAACGTCGGTCTCTGTTCCGCAATCTAGTACCAATCACCGACGGACATCGATTGCCATCCATTGACTGCAATCGAATGTGAAGGAAGGTAGCTTCCACACCTGCGTAGGATATCGCGCCCATTCAACACACATGGGCCGGGACCAACGGCTTTACTTCCCTTCCGAAGGAAGACGTGACCAGAGATTTTTATGCCTCAGAAAAATCCCACCGACTCGGTTATGGTGGTAAGCTCCAACCGAAATTATCCTCGGATTAAATTCAGAGCAAGAATGTCCGGCTGCTTTGATGTCGACATCAAACATTTGGCAGATCATCCAAATAGGGACAGGATTAAAAGTTAATCCGAGTTGGAGCTTACCGCCATTAAAGGGAAAGCGTGTTTTGATAAGTGTGTAAAGCTCACACTACCTTAAAAGTACACATTAATAAGTAAAAAAAGTACCCATTTTGAAAAAAAAGTGGCTAACTCATTAGCTTCCAGAATGTTAAAATCGTAATCTATTATATTTTCTACCTTTTTTCAGAAAACGTGGAAAACATTTCTCTCATACGGATATCTTTCGTTCAAGTAAGTACAGCTGAGCTTTTTCCTGTTTTGTTATTTATTATTTGTTCAACAAATTGTAGAATTGTAAATATAGAGAAATTAATATGTTATTCCTACATCCTAGCTGTTAGCTGCAATAATAGTACGTCGAAAACAGATAATCATCTTCAAATCAATATAACCTAGAAAACTACCGCTACAATAGATACATGCAGATTTGGATTTGGACCAAGAAGTGAACACTATTTTCAATCGTATTTTTTGATTTTCCGATTAGTCTGTTGTATTGTAACAGTTTTGCACACTAAACATGTGCATAGAGTATAACTTTGCGATTTTCTAAACTAACATAACCGATGCCATAGCCATGCTGGCATGTCCCTGGTGACTGGGACCAGTTTCTTGGTGTTCTTGATGGAGTTGCTGGTGAGGTTGCTCGGGTACCGGTTCAGGATGTTCAACTGTATGTTGTGGGGGGTGACTTACTGCACTGGGATCGGAAGTATGGGGAGTTTGCAGGTGAGGAGAGTGCTGTTGATGGTGCGAGGATGGTGGCGGTGGTGGTAGTTGGGGTTGCGAAGAGAGTGGAATCACTGGATGATGCTGCATATGGATGGGTTGATAATGTTGCGGTAGGTGCTGTTGCTGTTGATGGTGCAACTGCTGGGGTGGAAGATGTGTTGGAGGTGGATGGTGCTCACTTTGGCCCTGCTGAGCATGAAACTCAACTCGTTTGTGGCAGTGCTTCTTTATGTGCACATGCAAGTTGCTAGGCTGAGCGAATCCCTTACCACAATTCTTACACACGTACGGTTTCTGTCCGGTGTGGGTGTTAATGTGGATCTTGAGCTGAAAAGCTAGCGCAAATAGCGTGTGACAATAGGGACATTGGAACTTCTTCTCCGATTGAACACCTTCCCGTTTCACTCGCTCCTGAGTGTGGAGCTTTGTATGAACACTTAAATTGCTTGGATGGGCGAAGGACTTATCGCATAGTTGACACTTGTACGGCCGTTCGCCCGTATGTGTGTTTGTATGTAATTTCAAATTTATGGCCGCTTTAAACCTGGCGTCGCAGAATTGGCACTGAAATCGGTACTCCGTTCGATCCTGGTTCGGACAGCCGCCTTCACGCGGAGGTCGTCCACGACTTCGTTTCACAAATCCTTCCGGTGTCAGCACGGTTTGGACCGTACTCGTTGATGGAACTTTCAAATTTTGCACTTCCGGTGAAATCTGCTGCTGCTGTTCATCGTACCGAACTTGTTGGTGATCTATCTGCTCCACTTTAATCTTCGCTTGGGGACTCCATTCGCCGTAAACCGGTCCCTGTTGGTAATCACTACTCCTGGACGTTCCCTCTCCATAGGTAAGAATAGTTTCCGGTTCCTGAACCATCGCGTTCGATTCCATAGGCTCCGGTGCTTTGGCTTCATCAATAGAATTCTCGCCGTATTTCACGATAGGGTGGTGATACTGATCGTATTTTTGCTTCGGAGGGCGACCACGCTTCCTCCGAAAATCCGAAAAGTCATATTGATGCGGCAGTGGGTATTTATTCTCCGACTGAAATGCTTCCACTGAATGTTCACCATGAAACGAGACCATGCCCGGGCCAGTCACGTACTGGCTATGGCTGGGATGACCATGTTCCCCCAGACTGTAACCACCCGATTCCGGTCTTACCCCTATGACTTGTTCGGTATGTGCTCCGTAGCCGATTGGTGTCACTCGTCCATCCGCCGCTCTTCGTTCCTCACTACCAGCGTTGTACTCGGAAGGCGAAGAACCATCCGCTGAAGAAACTTGTTGCATTTCTCCACCTCCCGGGTGTGGATCAATTACTTCCTGTTTGGGATTTTGACTAGGTACCGACGGTGGCGTCGTCGTCGGTGGTGGTGACGTTTGCACGTCGGTTGGCTGCTTTTGGAAGTTGTCTGCAATCCGACGAATGATTTCATCGTTCTTGATGCACTGCCACCGGAACTGGTAGAACTCATCCAGACGAGTCTTGCAGATGGTGCACAACGAGGAGGGAATGCCATTCAGGGGCGATATCTGGAATGGAAGATAGAGGATTGGTCTTAGAGATTGCTTAATTTTTCGATGTAGACACGTGGTCCGTTGTTTTTTTTTTTTAAAGGACTGTTGTTTTAATTGAGAATACTGATAGATAACTATCACTTAGCTGGCGCCCAAAAGGACAGCGTTGCTTGGAGGTCGGCTAGTCTTCTTCCTGTCAATAATTGCAGTGTAATGCCTCTAATTTAAGATCTAGATTTGAGACAATTTTCCAAATATAATCATTGCATGGAATTTTGATTCAATTATCTAGTCACACGTTGGGGGTAAGGACTGTTCATTAAACAAAGTGGACACCTGTATATTATTGGTTTAGGGTTAAAACGTAACGAAAAATTGAGAATTTTCACTCAGTGTGTAAAAACATTGTTTATTTTGGCAACACACCTGAAAAATAAAAAAAAAGTGAGAAATTTCGAACGATGGGTCGGATCAGCTTATCAACTCGCAGATTAATTCTGCACAAATGGTTTTCCGAAAAGTTGTCGTTTCGAAAATTGGCAAAAAGCGTGAAGTGCAGTAAATCTACCATGTTCAAGATTGTTAAGACGTTTCGTGAAATTGCCAAAAAATTGAACTTTAGCGTCGGAACTATGCAGAATATCAAAAAAACGTAACAATATCAGAACCTATAAGAAGCAAAAAGCACCCAAAAAGACGAACTCACAGAAAGCTTCTTCGAAAATACGGTCACGGAACTTGTATGACGTTCTCCTTCAAAAGCCGAACCGGTGCATTTTGATGGACGACGAGACGTACGTCAAATTGGATTCCAGTACACTTCCCGGGCAGCAATTTTTCAACGCCGAGCAGAGGACAGACGTGGCTGATGATGTGCGATACATCCGAACCAAAAAAAAATGGAAAAAAAGGTTTTGGTGTGGCAAGCCATTTGCTCCTCTGGCTTGAAGAGTTCTTCGTATTTCACAACGGGCACAATCAATGGTGAAAATTACAGAAAGGAATGCATCAAAAAACGTATTCTACCCATCAAACGAAAGCATACGGATCCTCCATTGTTTTGGCCGGATCTGGCATCTGCTCACTATGTTTCTGCTACGTTGGAGATGCTCAAGAAGGAAAAAGTCGATTTTGCCGAAAAATTCCAAAATCCCCCAAACTGCCCTGAACCATAGAGGTAACTCTAAGACTAGTAGGTCCCGAAGAAACGTGCTCAACTTTTTGGCTCAGCTCTGGTACTCTCTTCGGTCCTAAGCTAATCGATGCACCCTTCGAAACATAGGAAAATCCACGAACCCCTTGTATAGCGAATCAATACAAACATAGTGTAGTACTAGAATTTTGACTAGAATGGGATACGTTAATCGTTTGCTTGGGACCAATAGGCTAGTCAAGTAGTGAGCCAATTCAAAATCGTAAGTTTTCACCGGTTGCCTGAACTGCGTCCTATCGAAAGATACTGTTATTGCCCAGTATGGATATGTAAACCATGTACCCAGTAGACGGTATCTTCAGAAATATGAAAGAGAAGCAAGCCATTCTTGTCGAAATTCTAGTACTACACTATGTTTGTTTTGATTCGCTATACAAGTTTGACAGATACAATGAGGGGTTCGTGGATTTTCCTATGTTTCAAGGGGTGCATCGATTAACTTGGGACCGAAGATAGTACCAGAGCTGAGCCAAAAAGTTGAGCACGTTTCTTCGGGACCTTCTGTTCTTAGAGTTACCTCTATGGTTGTAGCATAGAGGTAACTCTAAGACCTGAAGGTCCCGAAGAAATGTGCACAACTTTTTGGCTCAGCTCTGGTACTCTCTAGTGAGCCAATTTAAAATCGTTAGTTTCCACTGGTTGGTTGTAGTGTGATTAATAATTCATTCGAAATATAGACATGGCATTTATTCCTTTATTTCATTTGAAAGCTGAACAAAAACCCTACAATTTGAGCTGTCGTTGAGCTGTGTACCTTACTTAATTCACAAATTTGAGGAATTGGAATGCGTTTAGAATTATTTTTAGCCAGGCTTCAGTAGCTAAACTTTTAAAAACGCAATCTCCGTTTGCAAACAGCAACAAACGATGCGCTGAAGGCGCATTCTGAATAAATAATTAATATTTATAAAGATGTCTACCGACCACCCACCCGCCATCAACGCCCCCGGAGTAACCACGCGCCCCCATCGCACTTCTCCAAGGACTCTATTTTTTATTATGTATGCACTTGTACAAAACTCACTACACGTCAATCCCCACACACTCACCTGAAGCGTAGTACATTCGTAGATTTTCTGCAGCAAAAACTGATCACGCTGGTCGTAGCAAATGGGCTCCGTAATCCCGTTGGCCGATAAGCACAGCCGACACATATTGTTACTGTTGCTGCGAAGAAAGAAAATTCAAAACAACACCAATCATCATCATTTCATGGCTCCGCACAATTGAGGTGTTAATTTAGATAATAATATAAAACGGAATAAATACAAAATCGTTTGTTTACTCAAGCAACTCGAACCCCCCGCGAGAGAGAGAGACTTACGCCATGATTATTGCTTCTTTTAGGACAATATTTTCCATTATTTGCTGTCGCTCGGACGATCCTCGGAGGTCAGAACCGAGACTCAGCCACTCAGGTTGCAAATATCCTTGTGGGCTGTGTTTGTTTTGGTTTTTCGGTGGTATGATACCTGGTGGCACTGGTTTATTTCACTTGTCTTCGAATCGCGGCTCAAACTTTGCGTATTTATTTTATTATTTTCCTCACGGCAACAACACATTCCGATAAGGTACACATCTTCTGCTCTGCCTTTCTTTATGCTTTTTTATATTTATTCATGTTCGGCTTTCCGAGTCGTTCCTCGGGGGAGGCAGTGACTGTGACAGTAGCGTAGCCGTAACACGCCTTCAGTAGGGCAGTGTCAGAAAGTTCGAGGGAATTTGTTCGTTGGCATCACTGATGGCTGTGGGCCAGATCGGACGAATTATGGATGTTAAGTTTTAGAATTCATATAAAAAAATTGTTTTAAACCACCTTCATTAGGGTTCTGTGTCCGTATCACCGACAAACCGACATGAATGACCTTACAAATTACCATGACATTTCCGATTAAAGCACAAAACTGACATCTGCCGCCGTGTTCGCGAAAAATGTTTATCCTAGCCACGAACAGGCGCACAAAATGTATGAATTGGTTCGTGTCTAATCTATTCCGGACAAACTATTTTTATCTAGATAAAAAGAATTCAATGGTTTTGGCAGATGGGATCGCTGCACTTTTAAATCGGTCGTTATGATTCTCGATCAAGAGTTAAGTTTGAGTTTCATGTCGGTTTGTCGGTGTCTGTATCTTGATCATAATTTTGCTCATATAAATTGACATTTATTTTAAGTTGAAAATCTGGTTGAATTTGTCTATGATTGGGAGCTTGAAATTGTTCCCATACCCAGAGCATATTACACAATCCACTACGGTGAGAAATCAAAATTTCCAACTGAATATGATCACAGAGAACAGACATGGAGGCTCGAACAAAATTTCTCTAAAAACTTGTGTAAAGATTCTTATTCGACTTAAGCGCCACTAACGGTGACTTCCCCACTTAAAAACCCTCTTTGACAACATGATGGCGCTGGCGTTGCACAAATTACACAAGACACTAAGTGCTAGTAGCGCCAAGTGGCAATTTTCAACAGAAAATTTATCAATACTAGCGCCAAATAGAGATTGCTAAAGTATGATTGTGTTAGTAATTTGTTTTCATCGGGAAAATTTTTAGCTCTGAAAGATTTTTTCCCGATGAAAACATTTCTGGTATACGTATACGCTACCTAGTGTGTGTACGATAAACGTCAGCAATCTCTATTGGTCGAAAGTGGAAAATTTATAGAGAAAATCAGGAGATGCTAACACCACGTAACGGCGACGTTTCCACTTAACTTTACACAAGTTTCTGACCGAACTTGAACGTCTGTTCTCTGTGATATGATTGCACACTCTAATAAAAAATAACCATAAACGAACGATAACCCAAATCATTGAACTATTCCACAAATTGTTTGGATGATACCCAGAACACGTCGTTAAGCAAATTAACCATACAATTTTTATTAGGGCATGCCTTAGAGAATATGATAGAAAGTGTATCTAACTACAAGAATAACACTATTTTATTAAAAAATATCAAAACACAGGCATTATGAGCATGATATCACAGACAAACAGACGTAACTCTTTGAAAAACTTGTTCTTGAAAACATAGTATCTCAAAACATATAACCTCAGTAACGACATCTCTCTGGCTTCTCGCGGAAAACAAGCTTGCTCGCTAACTCGTAAACAATATTGCATAAAAGTTCTATCGAAAGTATGGAAAAGTCAAAGAGCTGTGGCGAGTAGTTCGCGGAACTGATAATATTCAAATCAACCGTTAAATGCATGAACGAAGACACACAATGAAGAGTTACGTCTGTTTGTCTGTGATGATATATTTTTATTTTGAACGCTTTTATTTTAAGAACGTGTGAAGTGGAAGCACTGGCTAGAGCGCTGAACTGGGGAATTTCCAAGATTTGAGAAGAGGAAATATTACCAGACGAGTGGATGGAAGGTGTCGTATGCCCAATCTACAAAAGGGCGACAAGTTGGATTGCTGTAACTACCGCGCGATCACACTGCTGAGCGTCGCCTACAAGGTTCTCTCCCTAATTCTATGCCGCTGCCTGTCACCATTTGCAAGAAAGTTCGTGGAGCCATACCCGGCGGGATTTATGGATGCCACCACGGACTAAATTTTCGCGATTCGGCAGGATCTACAGAAATGCCGCTAATACAACGTGCCCACACATCATTTGTTCATCGATTTCAAATCCGCATACGACACAATCGATCGAGATCAACTACATGGCAGATTGTGCACGGGTACACTCAAAAAATTTATCACATACCTAATGGATGAAATCCATGTGGATTTCACATACTTTCCTGTGATCAAATAGTTGCAAATCCCACCACAAAATCAAATGAATATTAGGAGGCCGATGAGATTCATATGAAAAATCATACGAAATTCATGTGATCACATTAATGTTATGTGAAATTCAGATGAATTCCATTATTTTTGATTATGGATGAAAATCATGTTCGTTTCCAATGGAAGCTACATGAAAACAATTTTCGGTGTACGGATTTCCGAATATACTGACGCGATTGGTCAAGGCGACGATGGATCGAGTGATGTGCGTTGTTCGAGTATCAAGGACACTCTTGAGTCCCTTTAAATCTCGAAGGGGGTTACGGCAAGGTGATGGACTTTCTTGTCTGCTATTCAACATCGCGTTAGAAGGTGTGATCAGAAGAGCTGGGATAGACAGGAGTGGCACGATCTTCGGGAAGTCCATCCAGCTTCTTGACTTCGCCGATGACATTGACATCATGACACGGAACTTTGAGACGATGGCGGAAACGTACATCAGACTGAAGGCTGAAGCCAGGCGGATTGGACGCCGGAGGAATCCGATGAAACTATAACTTCTCGAAACTAATCTCTTTAGTAGGGCTTAGATCTAATTTTGGGCCTGCTAAGCACAACCCGCCCTTTGCCTCTATTTTTCGGGTGCATTTTGTTTTCACTAAATGGAATATTTTTACTGCATATGACTTCTAAATGTATTTGACTTTTCGTACGTACCGTAACATTTGCTAAAGAGAAACAACATGTTAAGATATTGTCGAAAATCTAACACTGATTCTTGACCCCAATCTCAGCCTACTATTCCAAATTACTAATGCATTGAATTCACTTTTGCCTATCGGACGAAAATAAACATTTATTCGGTCGGAGCGCTGCTTTTGTTTTCGAGACAAATGGGTTCATATCACGCGTTCTCATTTTCGGTAACTTTTGAACTAAAGTATCGTACCGAACGCATAACTGACTTGTTAACTCTGAAACAATGGATTTATTTGATGTTTTCTGGTCGATAGGCCCAAAATGGGCGATTAGGCCGAAGTAGTGCTCTACCGAAGACAACAAATCAAGAAGACTGGCAACTTTGCCAGAATCCAAGCGACAGATACAATGGCGCTGCGCTTGAGTGAAGGTGGAAGCAACGCATAGAAAAATGAGCATATTCTCCTGAGGATGTAATCTTTGCTATCAAATTCGTTCGAAGCATTTACCTTTGAGCGGTAGATGACGCGATTGTACCTTTCTCATAGCGTTCGTATAAGAAAAAGGAAGAGTTGCCAGTCTTCTTGATTTGTTGTCTTCGGTAGAGCACTACTTCGGCCTAATCGCCCATTTTGGGCCTATCGACCAGAAAACATCAAATAAATCCATTGTTTCAGAGTTAACAAGTCAGTTATGCGTTCGGTACGATACTTTAGTTCAAAAGTTACCGAAAATGAGAACGCGTGATATGAACCCATTTGTCTCGAAAACACCATCTCTAACACCATCTCATACTAATCTCTACATGATGAATTATTTCATGATTGTTTGTTTTGATAGTAACACTGCTCAATCGCTATCGGTTTTTGATTGTTTTAAGGCCAAGCGCAATGACGGCGGAAGCGGAATGGCAACGGCAGCGGAAAAGCCCGATCTGAGTAAGCCTACTTGTCGGATTGAAAACTAGTTAGATCCAAATCGACTTTGGTTACACTGAACGAAAACCTCCGCCAAATATTGTGTGATTATTGATTCGATGGAGCCCTATAACACTAATCATTAGATATTCGGATGATTATCTTTTGCTCTTTCTTACACCTTATCCCATGAGTTTCATATGCGTGTCATCCTGATTTTGGAATACTAGAATACAATTTTAAAATGTTCGCTATCTGAAAACCAAACGAAAATTCATCAGTTATGTTAATGAAAATACGCCCAAAACTGAACGAAATTTACCTCAAAATTTACATAATTCATATGATGTTGAATTTTTCCCCTGCTTAAATGATTACTGCATGGTAGAAACATTTATAAAGACACTTTATTTTCCTTAAACAATAAAAAAATACACTTAAGGACAATATTGCTCAATATGCTAAGCACCACCGGTGAAAGTCCTACGTGTTCATGTTTTAATTTGGACCAACCTGAATGGTTCCCGAGTCCATGGCATGGACCGTGTTGTAGGTGAGCTGCATAATGGTTTATGGTTGGACCAGGGTCAGGTGATGCAAGCGTGTTGTCTCGGAGTTGTCCTCGTGCCCACGGGATACCTGTGCCAAAGAATACTGTTCCTTGTTGGCACGAATCCACTATTTGTTACGCTGCCGTTTCAGCACTCATTGTAGTTCGTTATCCACCTGCTGGATCTGTTCCACATTGACGTCGATCAGGATATTGATTGGCAAGGTCGGTATATGTCTTCCTGCCCTGAGAAAATAAAATAAATTAATGTGGGAATCGGCATCGCTGGTGCTTTTCAAACTTTTGTAACTTTTACTGGTATTTGAAGTGAAAACACTTTCTTTTTTGATCGTTCTGTTTGGGAATAAATGAAGGCTATAGATCTTTCATAATAACGCGTTGCGAATGTGTTTATTACTTACCTGTTCGGATATAATTGAGGATATAATCAGGTAGTACACAAATTAAAGAAAGTTGTCTACAATATGTCTGACTAGCATGAGGACTAACAACATTTAACTTTGTAGTTCTACTTCTTATCACACACCCTCACGAAAAATGAATGATTTTCGTTTTAGGGTGTTTTGATCTATTTATCTGTTGCGTTTGAGATGAAGTTCTTTAGCTATGGTATGCATACAAATATCAATCATGAAGGCATATGCATATCAAAGCCATTATCATCTGCAAGCAGGACGA